GTAGTAGTAGTAGTGTAGTAGTCGTAGTAGTAGTAGTAGTAGTCCTAGTAGTCGTAGCAATAGTAGTAGTAGTAGTACTAGTACTAGTACTAGTAGTAGTGGTGGTGGTGGTGACCCCTTCATGATGCTCATGCGGACTGCTACGCCTGTCCCGGGGTTGGCGGCAGGGGCGGCAGCCCTTAAATAACCCATCATAAACCTAAACAGGTACACTATATATATAAGTACAACAGTGTACAACAATCAAAAACAGCGAACCCACTGACGGACATACAGAAATTCAATTCGACACTACTCACAACACATGATTGACCCAGAGTAGTGAATTTTCATGCGCAGCAAGCGGGCCGCTGCATGTTTGCGCAACCTGCGACTCCATGACCATGTGTTGCAGCGCCCTATGGCCAATGTCCTTAGAGTCCTTAGGGAGTATAAAATCGCATTGTACTTGATGTTCTTCGTGTCCAAGATCCATCTTTCACTTTCAAATTTCGGTCCTGATTTCTAGATGATGCGGAATCAGTAAACACGGTGATGGGCCTGGCACAAACAAAATTCCAAGTAAACATACACAGCAAAATCCAGAAGTAGCTTTTCATGATTCTTCTATGGCAGTCCGATGGAAAGCGCACCCCAGCTGTACATCGTGTGGAGCAACATGTTCGTCCCTGCCAACTTACATACCTTATTCTGCTGGACTTGCCGTTTAGTTTAGTTGCAAAAGAGGCCCCCGCAGTTGGCAACTGCAAGGTCAAATTGCGAAACCGTCGCTCACCAAAAAATGCAACGACAAAGGGAAGGGGTGCATGACAGGCTGACGCAAAGAACACACGAGCCTCCTTTACACAGCACTTGAGCGTTTTATGCTGGCCAGTAGGCTGCCTTCATGAAATTCTTCAGGGCACGCATGAATAGGATGTTGGTTCCCCAGTGCGCTTGGAACTAAGACTAATCAAAAGCGCAGCCTCTGCTTGTTAAAGAACTGTGGTCTGCATGACTATTCAAAAACACCTGTGCCGGCGCCCTGCTAAACAAAGCACTGAGGCGAGCTTGCCAAATAATAAGGATGGTATCGGTATGATGTTGATAGCACGTAAAAAATAGAGCTTGATTTACAATCATGGGGAATCGGGCAGCATATGTGTTCTACTTACAGCCAATAGCAACTGAAAAGCGTGTCCATCCAACAGGCAATATCAGCCTCTTCACGGACAAAACAAATTGCAAAGACTGTACCCGGTATGAAAACGGATACATCCATGAAAGCAAGGAAGCCCCACAGCTGCAAGTATACCACGTACGGAAACGAGTCACGCCAGCACGTCGCAAAAAAAATGACAAAAGCCAAGGCAAAGACAAGTCAGGTGTAAAGCATCTACAACAATGATGCTGATACAATACCTAACTGTCTACGCAGAGAGTCTGCATATGCAAGGCAATTGCGGTGACAACCAGCAAATGTTGTTTAACAAATTGATGCGAACAAAAGCGCGGAAAAAAAAATATGAATCGCAAGAGACAAAGCATTGGAAAGCACATGCCAAGATATACCACCGGCTGTGCTCAAACCAATACCTGGCAAAATGCAACTGAGAAATGAATCCTCAGCTTTGCTACTGAGACCTTTCTGTTTCAAACATTCTCCAGCTGGTGCAATGACTGTTTGACACGTGGATATTGAATTGAAAAAGAAAAAACAAAGATGTTGACAAATGTGATTGCTGCAATTTTGTGAGTTCATCGACAAGGCACTTCTGCAAGGTGTCTATGGACTTTTCGATGATCCGGGACCTCCAAAACTTCAAGCCGTTTTGTTGAGTCAATTGCCACAAGCGTTGACAAGCCTTGAAATGTCTTCGGGAAAGAAGTTGATGTATACCACAGTACCTTCTTGGCAGTAAGGTTTGGTATGTCTTGTGCATGCTAATCATTGTGACACCTTGCAGTGTAAGATGCTGCAGGATCCAACCTGACACCATTTGGCCTTGGACAAATCGACTCAAGCTGCAAATAGAATTGGTAGCAAAACAACTCACACGAAACCAGATAGGTGACCAAAAGGATCGACAATACACTTTGACTTTGATTCTGTCCCACAACATATTGTCCTGTGAAATCAACCCTTGTCCAAAAACACGCAAAAACATGCCTTTAAGCTGATTCAATGCATGCAAGCGATATTTCTTCGAAGCGACTCTCCATGTTCCACAAGAGCTGTAGTGCTGGCCATGCAGACTGCCTTACATCGAAGCTCTCAATACACCTCATGTCTTGCTTCTTCATCTGAGGAAAATGCACAAAGTTCGTCGGCCAGTTTTCACCTGCCTGTGTAAGTGTGCCATATAGACTGGACGGAATATGCAGTATACAGTCAGTATACAGTATGAACAATGTTTCAACCTCGTACCTAAACTATCAGTCGTCCTTCTTCCGACAAAGTACTTAAGGAGGTAGGAGCACTTTGCCAAGAAGACTGTGTGCGGAAGACTTGCGATATATTTGGCGCTTTTTGCTTTCACTTGCTTGCCCATCTAGGACAGGCTAAAGCTAGAGAAAGTAATAGCAATGGCCTCCAACCTAATAGCGATGGCCTCCAACCTACTATAGAGATAGAAGTATCGCCAACTTTGAGTCTTTAGCATCTGCGTCGTGGTGCGCTTGCCTGCAAGCTCGGAGTGCTTTGTTGCGCTGTTCCCACTCACCCTAAATAAACAATGAATCATATCCAACAATTGAAAATATAATAAAACACTCCGTTTCATCTACTTTTTTCCTGATAAGGGTTTGTGCTTTCACAGCATCAAAATGTTGCTTTCCTATTTATGGTAAGCCGCTAGGTGTTATTTAACTGCTTTTGCTATTCCAACGAGAGGCTTGCCTTGACATCATTCATTCCTCCCAACAAGCCCGTCCGTTAGATCAGCATCCATCTAGAAGTGGGGGCTCTTGCTTGACTTGGCAATGTCGTATTGAAAAGGTACAAGAATCTTCTCTGGCTGTCAACATTGAAGCATGCGCAAGCTCAGCCGCATACTGCCTTTTTGCCCAGCACCACCATGAAGAGTCTTCAAAGAACTTCTGCACATCACAAATTGCAAAATGTTTGTGGAGAATCACAAAGAATGCCTCCAATCCACCAGTCACACGTCGACCCGTCCATGTTTTTGTTTCTTCGCAGGATGGAACTGTGAAGGTTCGCGTGCTCTACCATCACAGCAAAGCTCCTCATAGATCTCGGACGCCAACGGGATGATCCGAGCGTGTAGGCTGAACATGGATCGCCACAATTCTCGCTTAGTCAACCATGCGGTAAACTCGAAAAAAGAGCGTCACCAGCCACAAGAATAGGCAAATACTGAAAGACCTTGGACGGCCGATTAGTCTTGGCACGCTCTCCGACTGAAAAAAAAAAAAACATGTGTCAAAAAGTTCCAGCACCTTGGTTGACTCCTGACATCAGGGAAAACAACCTACTAAGGATTGGATATTCCAACACACCCCGATCAAGCAGTTCCTGTCACTAGCTTTGGAGTTTAAGCAAGTAGTTTGACCCGAAATCAAAATGAGATTACACAGGACTGGCTCAGGCGACGTGGAAAGCCAAGATGCTTCAAGCGCTCCAGCTGCACCACCAAGTGCCATGGTTTTCTGATTGGCAAAAAATGCCAAGGAACTCCACCCACCCATACTCCCATGCACCTTGGACAACATGGTCAACACAAGTTACCTGTTAAGTATGTCGCATGCCACATTAAACTCAGTGTTGAGCAGCTCACATTGCCTTTAACGTTCATGATTAATGGTACGTTGATTTGCGTGGTTTGCGAATGTCTTGTGGAAATGCGCTACGTTGCACCACATCACATCACACCCCATAACATCACCATCACACAACAAATGAGGCTCTCGCACAAGACTCAATAAATCAACTCCCAATCCTCCTGGGCATCCACCTTCTCAACGATTGACAACAAACAATAAACAGTGGTGGTAAGCGGTCATCTTTGGTCCTTACCTGTTCAGCGCTTTGTCATGCTTTGTCGCCATCAATCATTGCGAACTTGGCTCTCATTTTCAATGTTCACAGTTCCTGCTAGCAACTTCCAAGTCACAACGCTTGTCGGTGATTCGGCTCCTGTGAATTTCAATTTGGACAGGTTTGGCAAGCGTTGCGAACAATGACAATCCTCGAGCTTCATCAAGATTGCACTTTGGACCAATCTCTGCTGACCCTCCTCCATCTCCCAAAGCCCCTGGCCCCTGAGGGTCGCCAGGACCCGCACTCGCAGAAGGGGGTCTTGCAGGAAGAAGGTCTCGCAGAACGGTCTCGCAGCGTCTCGCCGCCGCTCCGGTCGGTTTCTCCCAGCTTTTCACAGCTTCGCAGGTCCGGTCGATTTTTTGACCCTCTCTCTCCGCGCAATGCAACATTGCTTTCTTGGCTTGCAAGGGAATGTGTGAGATTCCGAGTTGTCCAATCAAACTATATATATGTCTTGAAGCACGGTCCTCTCTACGCATATGCTCTTGAAAAAGTCTTACGAAGCAGCAGGCGTGCGCTTAATTCAAAGTCATCAGTCATCTACATAACCTTCTCTAAATCCTAGGTCAGAACAAACAGTTATCTGCAAACAAGCTTCAAAGCAGAGACCACCAGTCCCAGCGCAGCAAAGGCCTCTTTCCAGTCCCCTGCAATCACACCATTCCGATCACCTTTCATCAAGGAGAGGGTTGGGTAATTCTGTGGAAGCAAGTCTGAGAAACCTCTTTTGGGAGCCTTGAACCTTTGAATGTGCAGAGTCCCAAACAGAAGGTTGGCATTAGAATAATATCACGCAGCTTCAAGAGGCACCATGAACTTCGCAAGCAAGGTTTGACACTTATGTTCACGGCGTTTGTCGGACTAAAGACTGTTAGATGGAAGACACATTTTGGAACACCGCACTTAAAGCCAAGGAACGCATGTAAATTAGAAGAAAGGCAAAGAAGACAGGATAGCCCACCTCGTAGAACTCTTGGAAATTCCATCAAACCCAAAGTCGTTAAGAAGGCTCAAAACAAACCTGAGAAGCGGTTGCTCCTCATGTAAAAAAAGACCGCGACAAAAACCTGATTCCCTAATCTTGGACAAGCCACGAAAACTAACATCGGTCTTTGAATCTATTTTTAGCTGGGCAGCCGCATTGCCACTTGTGTCGAAGACTGTGACCAACGAGAGCGGTACCCACAACCACATGCTCCAAACAAGTCGCCGAAGAGGCGGAACTTGCCACATCCTTCACAAAAGATTGGGGGGTTGCCTTGCAAGGCATCGCTGCTCTTTAGGTTAAGTGTCCCAAAAAAGATATAGAAACCAAACGAAGAGTGCGAGGGCTTTCCTGCGTCAAGGAAACTAGTAGCGGCCTACTTATTTGCTACTACTAGCTTAAAGGAGCTGGTGAAAGTAGAGCTGCCATGAAGTCGTCCGTTTTCACGTGAAGTGCAAGAGTATCACACGTGTCACAGAAGAGATTCTGAACACAAATAATACGAGAGAGTGTCATGTAAGAGGGTCTGAGGTATTATTGTGGAAGGCTCTTGAATTCAGGTTCGTGGGTTCAATCAGTTTTCCGTCTCAGCATTTCCTCTTTCCAAATGCAAGGTGTTTTTTGCATCTACTGGGCAACTGCATTAACGAAACCAGACCTCCGCAGGCGATTCAGGTTGAGCCCCACAACCTGACAACTATGCGAGTGTGAATGCTGACAGCTTGAGTTGCATTGCTTTGCATCGCAGCTCTTGTGCTGTCACAAGTTTATGGACTTCATTTATCATCTCACGAATCACCTCCCTGCACTCCAAGCGACCAGTAGCCCTGGCCAAAGCAACAAGGGGCCACCCACAAAGGCCGTCCCGGCCATCCTCACAATCGCAACCAAAACAATTCCTAGTAGCGTGCTTGCCCCTAGTAGCGATGCCAGGGCCCCCCAGTAGCGTCCTTGCTCCTAGAAGTGTCACGCCCAGATTGCAAAAATCCAAGTTTTTTGACCAGTTGAGCACATTTGGATTGGTTTGAACGGTGTTTGTTTCGGAGCAAGCGGCCTGGTCTGTTTGGCCCTGGCTGCAGCTGGCAATCCAGCCCTGCAGGCAGCATAAGAAGCTTTCCTTTAGCCGTTCTCTTGGCACTTGCCAGGTGAAGTGCCAGCTCATTCCTTGTGGTCAATTAGCAAATAGGATTTCTTAAGCCCGGGGGCGGTGGGCCGCTAGAAGAGGTAGCTAATAGCTACTTAAGCTACTACATACTTGACACAGGATAGCTCACGCTAATGATTTGGTTCCTAGATTTTTTTGGGAAACTTAACTATTGCTTCCCTCGTGCCTCCCAAAGCTAGGAGAGAGTAGAGTCGGCCGCGGCAGCCCCGTGCATTGCACTGCCAAGGTTACCATCGCAAAAGCTTCGTTGCGCAAGGCAATACCCGTTTGATTCCATTGAAGAATGGAGTCGCTGGATCGCTTGAAAAGGCACAAACGGGAGGAAAAAATCAAATCGTCGCCATGAAATGACAATCACGCGCTTTGAACCCAACATGACAAATCTGGACTACACTCCCACTGAGATTGCTATGGCCATGATCCCGCAAAATGGTCTCTGCTCAGCGTTGTGCAGATTCATGGCGGAGCCGTGATGGGTGCTTCGAAACAAGCGGCAGACATCCAACATTATGTATGCAAAGTTCCCTATTTCGTGGATCAAAGTTGATCATCCGCCTGCTTCTGCGCAAGCTGCAGTAGCTCTGGCTGCGAAGTAGCCTTGTGAAGTGCCTCAGTTCAGAAAATTGTCACTTGTCATGTAAAGCTTACTAAATAATATGTGTGAAGAGTCATGAAGAGGACTGAGAAGTGAAGAAAAGAGTACCAGATGTTTTCTTAGATTTCACTTGAAAAATGGGTTGGACCTGCAACAGGCGATCAAATGAACTTTGCTGCTTGCTAGCGTAGCTGTAGCAGTGGCCAGTGGGCAAAGCTCCTCAGTGCTTCAGCACAAAAATATTTGCATTCAATGCGTTTGGTACAGACTGACATCCAGTCCTCTGGCAACTCCTCTAAACCTCAAAACACAGAAGCTTTAAAAGGCCGCTCTGCCCCCCCTACCTAGAAGCGATGGCCTCCAACCGAATAGCGGCGGCCTCCAACACAGAAACTTCTAGGTAGGGGGGCTGAGGAAAACTCGTTGCTCCTGCTACTTCCCACGATCAAAACTAAGAAGGCAGGGCAGGCAGACCAAGAAACAAACCAAGAAATACCACGGCAGCAGCTTGGGAATGATTTGAACTCTCTTCTTCAGATCTTCAGCTCAATCTCACTAGATGAAAGCACACTTGCTCAGGTTGGGCACCCCTGGCTCTGCAAGAGTGCCACTGCAGCCAGGGATGTGCCAGCACCCAACTGAGCCTTGGACCAGGTCCAGTAAGTGATCAAACTTCCAGGCATCCTATGACAGCCAATGAGACCCACTTCATAGTCGTTCCAGCAGATGTTGTCCAGTATTCCTTCTCCTCCCTTCGGTACTACTCTTAATTAAAAACATGAGCATTCTGTCACTGCAAAAAGACTAGGTGCTTCGTCTGGGGAAGATACCTTCACTAGATCGGGCACGTGCACCTCAGTGTCTCAAGAAGCAGACTCCTATACGGTAAACAAGTTCAATGCACAAGCTTTTTCATCTGAGCAAATCACCCAAAGCTGCGTACAAGCATCCTCCTTTGGCCCAAGAACAAGGCTCAGGTTGGATAGAATCTCGAAAACCTGTCAGCCGAAAAGTAAAAGCATGGCAAACTGGTCTTGCAACCTCAGTCCCCCTCAGCTCAGTACTGGCCAGCGCGCTGCAAGCAAATGTGACCAAGGAGCCTCCAACTCTCTCTGCAGTTTGAGGCAATGACTCAAAGGTTAAATTGAAACAAAAAACTCAATCGTCAAATCATAACAAATGTCATCATCTAGGTGCAAAATTTGACTGTCAATCCGGGCTTCGTTAATCTGCCCTGGTTCTTCTGCCAGGTTCGTGCACATTCAGTGCGGCGGCTAGGTAGCAGCTGCCAAGGCAGCACATCATTGGCAAATATTTAGCTGTATTCGCAATTGTCCGTAGTTGCTGTCTGCTATGACTGTTCTTTGAGGTGCACATCTTCCTCATGTTGTGCAAACCCCATATTGACTATCTAATTCAGCTAGCTACACGGCACCCGCTGCAGTCATTTCTCTTGGAAGACTCTCTCCCAGAAGGCCGGCCCTAAGCTGTCGCATGTTCAAAGCAGACATGACGAACAGCAAAGCTGCAGTACAAGCACGAGCTGCAGTTTGAAAATGTGGAGACAAACAAAATATACTTTTGCAGCATGATTCAAACTAGCCCGAATCCCCATCTTGTAGCAACACAATTGATTTTGTGCAGAGCTCAAGGCCCTTTGGCACTTAAACCTGTATAGCTTTACCTCTCTGCCCAGCTTCGAACTTTCTCCAGGTTCAGCACCACCTGTAAAATATCAAATTCAGAAAGAGCTTTGGAGGAGCTGGAAGGAAGCAACAACTGCACCTGCTTGCCGCTGTCCAAATGCCATGTAGATTCTTCGCTGTTGACCTTGTCAAAGAGCTCCCCCTGAAATCAGGAACGCCATCCTAAAGGCCTGTTGAAGCTGTTAGAAGAGCTGCTCTTGGTGGTGGACCATGCCTGCATGAGGACATTGCCTTTGAGCTTCACTGACAAAGACTTTGCAGCAATCGCCACCTGTACATCGGCAACTCTTCTCTGCAATCAACCACAAAAAATGTGTGAGCGCTTGGTGTGAGCGTTGAGTCTGTTGCATGATTGCATGTCGGAGCCAAAAACAACAACGGTTGATGCTTCAAGCTCGCTGTGGGACCTATGGATACCACGCCTTCAGGTCTGCAGCCCTGCAAGGCTCGACGCCCAGCTCAATAGTGACCTCCTTGAGCGATTAACGGGCTTGGTCCATTAGACAAGTTTCCCCGCTCATCTTGGAGAAGTTTCAAAGTGCGGAAGGTCAAAGAACTCATCGCTAGTAGTAACAAAGGGCATCGCTACTAGGAGCAAGAACGCTACTAGGGGCTCCT